CCAGTCTATTTTACACCCAAAGCTATTTACTCTTTAAAATGATGCCAGGCCACGCAGTTGGAGATGATCTTAGATTCCCAAATCTTAGCATCTCCAGCCCTGTTCATCGTTTGTCATGTGACTTGTTTCCTTGTTGGTAGAATTCAGTACAGCGCATCATTTCCCCACATGGCTTTCTTCACATCCTGAACAATATAGTCCATATCTTCCTGAGGTCACAAAACCCAATTTCATGTCAAAATATCCCTGATGGCCAAACATTTTCTCTCAGAAAGGGATTTTGCACAGCAAAGACTTTCCCTTATTATAAAATCTCATCTGAATAGATATCATAACAGCTAGCGGAGCAAAGGCTAAGCTACTTTCTACTTCAAAAGCTGTGCAAGAATTAGATGCGATCATATAGTCGAAGTGCTTGACACATGAGTTTAACTATTAAAATCATCTCTACTGCTCTCTAATGGTCACTGAGCCCAGAATTGAGAGAAACAGCCATGCCATCCATGGGTGGAATCTAGGAAGGTGTTTGTTTATGTATATATTCACTCATCAAATGCTTACAATGAATTAGGATTAATCACAGATGAATCATTTCAGGAACTACCTTATTCTAGGAAATGAAAGGTATGTGCTTCTATAATACATCTCAGCCAGAGCAGGAGCTCAGGAGAGGTACAGACCATGCGTGGGGAACGATTGGGGCAGAGAGGTTGGTTCATCCTGGAAACGATGAGGGCACCAGGCAGTCCTCTCAGCCAAGACTGATTTTCAAAATAGGGAATTGTTCTCGGCCACAGTGAGCCTGACCTTTACTGGAATAGGTTTCGCAGGCTACAAGAGGGGTCCTGCTGTCAAACCACCATCACTTCTACTGCTCACCAGGGTATTCTTCCTGTAGGCTCCTCAGGTAGAGAGTGGCACCTACAGGTAGCCTAGGTCATCTCCAAAGCCAGACACATCCTACTTCAGTTCAGTCTGTAGCATTGGCAAGTATTTAATCCAAAACCAAAGTGCTCACATACAAAACATGAGGTGATACAGCACCATTAAGAGTAGATCAGAAAAGTGTTCTGTAAGATTATAGTAATAATTATCTTTGGGAATGAGACTGTGAGTGATTTTTATGTTTCTAAATTCTGCTTTATACATTTTTTCTGCAGTGGGCATAAATTCCTTTTAAAGATGGGCTATAGTTAGGGTCCCTGAATATCTCAAGTTTCCAGTCTGTATTTAGTCAGTATTTTATTTTGTAATCTAAGCTATTTATTGTGATATCCATTAAGATTTGATGAGTGTACTTGAATCACACAATGTATTGTATTTCCCAACACTTTCGTCCACAGTGATGCAGCTAGGATGTGGTGGGACAGCGCTAGTTTTGGGTGTCAGAAGACCCTGCTTCATTTCTGAGAGAATTTAGTCAACTCACTTCATTTCCACCTGCATTTGAATTCTGTAAAATTGTGATGTGGCGTTGCTTTGATGGTCAATTAAGATTATATGTGAAGATATATTTTGAAAACAGTACCTCACTCCAAAACTATAAGGCAGGATTAAAATGACTGGAATTAATTCTCTCTATTTAAAGTTGTGGTATTGAGTTCTTATCAATTGGGTGGAAATCCACACAAAATTAACTTTCTATGAGTCCACTATATCTAACATCCTGTTGATTACTTAAGATATGAATCAGGTGTTTCATATGTTATAACTTAATTGCTAGATAATTTAGATACCAATTCCTTAAAATTATGTTATGCATTCAAATTTTCTCATAGTAGTTTGTTTAAATTATGGCACCAAATACTTATCCATGTGCACCTTATTAAGTGTACGTCTCTGTGCAATGTGTATTTTGGTATGCATACAATTTGTATATATGTATATAAAATGGAAACACATCAATATCAGTGGGAAAAATGTAGATATACATATATATTTGTTCCATTGATATTGATGTTTTATTTCAAGGTAACTTTCATCATCAGTACTTGAAGATAAAAGACCATTAGATATTTTCTTTCAGTAATAATTGAATTTTCAATCCCTACAAAGTAACAACTCTCTCTTAAGTAAGATATTAAAATTATCAGTGAAACTGCAAATTACTTTATTGCCCTGAGGAAATATAACTTACAAATGGATTTACAAGAGATTCATTTAAGCAACATGTTAAAATGCGATTATGTTTATGTATTTAAAAGTTTGTCCATTAAATTTTTTTCTAGTTAAAGTAGTCTACTTATTTGAAGCTGTATTTAAGGACAGCATTTAAATCAAGCTTAGATGTACATCATTAAAAAAAATCGATACAATCTTTGTGAGTACTCTGTAGAAGGCAAGTGCTGATTAAGGTATAAGAACCAGGAAAAAGAGAAGTACCACCTTGTTATAAATCTAGTGTCTATATTTTTGTGAGCTTTAGGCTTTTGATTCTGTTGCATTGGCTATTTAGGCCTGCACCATTCAAATACTGTCTTAATTACTGTAGCTTCATGGTAAGATGTATTATTATATAGCAGACCAAATAAATCAGAACCTATTTTAGATATAGGTAACTTTAAAACCTTCTCCATTGGTTACAATGGACAGTCAAGGATGAGAGTAACTCAGCTAAGAACTTTTGGAAGTGTTCAAAAGTTTCTGTCAGGGCCTGTGGAAGGTCTATCTCCTGATCAAATGTGTCTCACTCTGCGTAATGCACTGTACTGATTGGTACCTCAAAAGAGGCCTAAATGTTACTTCCAGGAGAAATCTTCATATCTGCTAATCTGGTTCAACATATTGGGTCTATAATGGTAACGACCGTCTAGCTGACATCTTTTTCTGTTGAATTTATTTCTCTTTTCTCCAATTTATAATCAAGTCTTCCCTTTTTTTGATTTACTGTGAAGTCAAAATTGCTAGATAAACCAGAAAAGCTATTTTCTTTAAAGGCCTTTCAAAACCCAACAGCTTTAATATCTACTTGTTACAGTGTCATTGTTAGACTTAAATTTAGTGGAAAATGGGCTTCTTATTAGTTCTCTGGTTTTAAACTCATAAATCCCTTTCATTAAATATTTTTCATTAAGATGTAGGCAACTCCCACGTACAATACATTTGATAGTATTACTGTAGAAGATTTGAGCTCACTGAGACCTCCTATTGTAAAATATGTTTTTAAATATAAAATGTAGTTGAAAATAATGTTCCGTTTGCAGTTCAGCAGTAAAAGCTGGGATAATACTTGTGTTCAGATACTTATGCTACATACGATAATCTGAATACACCCAGTTCCCTTTAAAACTTTCTTCATATATTAAGTGTCAAAACATTTAAATATATTTAAAACATGTTGGTGAGGAATGGTCAGGTTAGGAAGTAAAGAAACCCTTGCAGACAGTTTTCAGGAGCTACTTAACAGCTCATTTCAGACAAATGAAAGATTTGAGAGGAGTCATTTTGTTCTCACAGGATGGTAATGTTTACTGTTGAAACGATTAAAGTGTGTTCATCAGCACACAGTTAGAACGAGGTATCTGCCTGATCTCCATCTCCGCTCTCTCTCATTCAGGCTGATTGATCCGCACATAGAGGGGCAGGCAGACTGTCAGAGGTAACTGCGCAGAGAAGGAAATTAAACAACCACAGGGACCAAGTTAACATGGCACAGAAAGCTCGTAGGTGGGAAGTAGTTATGTGGGGAGGGGACGTGGACCAAACAGGTAAATAGGGAATCACCGAGCAAAGGTAGGTGGATGCAAAATCAGGAGTAGCAGGAAAGAGATAAACTGGTGAGAATGAGAAGGAAGGGATTTCAAGGTGTCCAGAGGTAGAAATAGAATTGTGGTCAGGTGTGTGGCTGTAACTAACCTCCTAGAAGCTGTCCTTTCAATGATTACCCTTGTAGGAAGCCTGAGAACTGCAGTTTGCTCTAGGGGCCTGTTCTCTGTAACTGCTCTGGAGGTCTGAACATGGCCAGAGAAGCCGAGTGTGAGAATTGATAACACAACATCTTGGGAGCAGAGGAGAATGGAACCAGTCCCTGGGACCCCGCTCAGTGCCAGCGGTGGCTTCATGGTGCTCCATCACCATTCACTGCCATCATGTTCCCAGCAGCGTGTTGTTGATCTGAAGCTCGGAGGGTAGTCTAATTCCACCTGTGAAGGGAGGTTAGGACAAGAGGCATGAGTAAAGAGTGGGGTGTTCTGCAAAGCTGCTTAGGGAAGTTTAAAACACTTCTTACTCCTTTTAACTGGGAGCCTTTTCTTTCTTTTTTTCCATCATTTGGACATGAACCTTCCCTTTTCCTCCAGCCAGCAGGTCCTACCTAGGGAAATAGAAGGACACTGACGGAGGGGGTGTCCTCTCGTTTTGCTGAGCTGCTCTTTCATTTGAGCATCATTTAACTTCTCTTGTTTTATGCCTTTTATTTTAAACTGGATAAGCTCCATGTGGTCTCATGTTATTCTTCTACACAGTAGGACTTCTGCCAGCAAAGGTGCAAATCGGTAGTTAGCATATTGCCCATGATTTTTCCTAACTTCTCCTACTGACACACAGGGCAGTGGCTTGGTTATATTCATACATGTGCTTTAGTATGTGCAGAGTTGAATAATGTTTATCTGTAACTTCATTTCCCCCAACAAGGAACTTTTGCACTGAATGTTTTCAGCATGATGCTATGCAGATAGCTGGCACCAAATGTGTCCCCCATGTATTGAAGTCTGATATTGATGAGACTGTATTTGAAAATATCAGAAATATTTCTCCCCAAATTTCTGAGTTCCCAGACTTGTTATATTTTCCTTTCCTTGCCATCTTTTGCTGTTGTTGTTCTTTCCCTAGCTTTTAGCACTGAAGAACTCTGTGACCATTTGTTATTCAATATCTGTGCATGAGAATCACAAAACAAGTCATTACAAAAATTGACCAAAATGGTTGGACAATTTTTAAAAATCACAGACTAAAGATGGCCAAAATAATATGCTGGGTTTTTTTTGTGTTTTCTTTTCTAGGTCAAAACTGTGGAGGCTTAGTCCAGGGTCCCAACGGCACCATTGAGAGCCCAGGTTTTCCTCATGGTTATCCGAACTACGCTAACTGCACCTGGATCATTATAACGGGGGAACGCAATAGGATACAATTGTCATTTCATACCTTTGCTCTTGAAGAAGATTTTGATATTTTATCAGTGTACGATGGACAGCCCCAACAAGGGAATCTAAAAGTGAGGTAAAGTGTCGGTTCTTCATTTTATAGATTAGGTAGCACTGTTGCGTACTTGGGTTCTGAAATCTAATTGGAATTAATATTTAAAGTATCAGAAAGAAAATTTAGTTACTATAAAGAAAAATTAATGTATATTTATGTCAAATTGTGCATTTTCCCTATACTTAAAAAGGTAAGTTCTTATCGAAAGTAATCATTGACTTCATTTATAGATATCAACTTGTTCAAGATCTGTAAAACAGTGTTGTCAAGGTAATTTAAGTAAATTTATAATACACCATTGTTTTCAACTATGAATTTGAGAGAAAAGTACAAAGATAAATGTTTGAGTACAATTCAGACAATAATAAAAGCAGCTTTTATATTGTCAGAGAATAAATTCAGTAAAAAGAACATAGGAGGTGGGTGGGGGGAGAACATTCGAGAATATTGCATTCTTTGGAGAATTTTTGGTTTAGACAATCATGGCATATTCTATTCATTATGAGGTTTCTCTTTTGATCTATAATTTTTACCATGAATAAAGCAAAATGTTTTCTGAAATGATTTTAAATTAGGTTTTTCATTTGTCAACAAGGGAAAAATAATTGTACCTGCACAATTATATCCATTCTTTTTTCACATTGGCAAAAGAAAGAGGAATGTCTTTTTCAAAGAAATCAGATTTTCTTAACTAAATCTATAAACTTATTTAAATCCATAACATATATGGCAAGTCATGCCTTTCTCTTCTGGTTTTAAAATTTTGTATTAGAGATTAAGTTTGTTTAATATATGAAGGCATGTAGAAAAATTGACTGTAGGCAAAAGAAGTTTTAGAGTTTAGATAAATGAAATAGTATTGATGTTAATGCCAACAGTAATGCACACAAAATTCGTATACTCCATTCGTGATTTTGTGAGATGAGAAAAAAATCTCTAACTACAAAAACTGATTTTATTTGTACATCTAGTTTTAATATTTATATCAATATCTATTAACTACATAGTTATATGAAATATAAACTATATTTTATTAATATAGTCTCAAATGTATTTTATTTGCATTTTCTTTATGCATTTTCAAATGTAAAACATCTTATAGTTTTTCCTGGGTCATCTACAATATCTGTTGTCTGTTCTTAGAAACGTTTTTCTATTTTATATATTGCAGAATGGTTATCTATTTTCTGAATCAGGTAAACTTTTTTCCTTGTATGATATTTATAGTTCTGCATTTGAATGTTTAAACAAAGTATTTATATATAAAATCCTTGCTAATTTGATGCAAGATTTCTCATTATAATTCTTTCTCTTTTAAATTTTAGTTATTTATTTATTTTTTACTTTTAATGCTAGTAGGGAATAGCGGTAGGTTGTAATAGTTGAAATATTTGTTTTAAAAAAACTGTAGTTTTGGCAAGAAAGGAATAATTTATTTTACTGAAATACCAATGTGTGTGACTATGTTAAAAGCAATTCTTCTCTTTCCATTAAAAAATGCCTTGTAAGTATGTACTCTTAAAAATACTTCTATTTTCCTTCTCTAAGTATTTCCATTTCCTATACTTCTTTCGTATATAGGAAATCTGTCTTAATGTTAAATTTGATTGACTATTTTTCAACGATCTGTTATCTCTTATGTTCCTCTGGTGTTATTATGATCATTTTATGATAATAAATTTAAAGTTTAGAAAATAACATTCCTCCCATCTTTGGTATTGTAACAGATCAACAGTAGAAATCTTAGGATTAGAACAATTAGATTCACTATATTATATTTTGAGGTTCCAGTGAATAGATATAAATTGATATCTGTGCCTCAGAGAGCTTTATGAATATTGGTGAGTTATTGGTATCACGCCAAGGCTCTTTGACTCACTCAATTATTTTCAGTAGAGGAAGGAAGGGAGGTTGATAAGAAAGAGACTTCCTGGGTTCACATAAATTCCTCAGTTACCTACAAGTTTTTATTTGAAACAGAGGACAATATGTCATATTTCTAACTGTTTCTTGTCCTTAAATTTAGTAAAATGCTTTCATCTCGACATTAAATTGTATAACTGTCTTATCTCCACCCTAAGAATGCCATCCTGAGGAGACAGTCTATGGGTATCCAGTGAGTCTTCCGGGGCTGCTCCAGGTATCACAATACAAATAGGCAAAACACATCCAAAGACTACTCGATGGGTCTCTGCTGATACAAAATTTTAGATAAATAGGATGAGAAACAGGACTGTGAATATTGTCAGGGAAAACACATGAGAAAGTGTTTTCTCTTTCAATATTCAGCATCAGTTGATGGGCAAAGTAGTTATAAATAGTATCGGATTCTAATTAATCGTTGGAGGGGAGTACGCTAATGTTATTTGTTCCCCATTATATCTTGGAGCAGTTGTTTATTTCTCAAACACAATTAACTACCGACAATTAAAGCAGCTCTAGGATTTAAAGGAAGGATAGTCTTGTGAGAGAATTGATGTAGGAACTGCAGATCCACTGAGCTGTCAGGAAAGTTATTACTTAGAGCTGTCATGGTCTGTTATTGTTTTATTGCTGCACAAAAGCTGCTATTAGTCGCTCAAAATGTGCACTAAGTGAAAAAATATTGAGTTGTTTTGTTAAACAACTTGAGCATTTTATTACGAGGAAATTTATTTTGTTTAACCACAATAAGGATTTTTTTCTAAATACACTTAAGATGTAGATTTAATCCCCAACAAGGAAATCAGAGAATTTGTAGTTTAGAATCATTGATGTTTAAGTTACAATTATCTTAAAGTTTTGTCAGGAATATATTATTTACCATACCTTAACAAAAAAAAAAACTTTAAGGTTAAAAAAATGCGATCTATATTATCATCTTGGATTATTTCTTTAATACAAACATACCCAACAACACGTATGTGATTTGTTCCCCCATCAATAAATTATACTTTAATATACAGACATTGAGAGCTGAAATAGGACTTCTCTTATTAAGGACAAGGGAATAAAATTTGACTTAAAATTAGAAATAAAAATCTCATCCTTGAGTTATTTAGAATTAAAAACATAGCTCTTCATTGATTTCTATGAGCTGCCAGATTATTACAGTTTTTTTTTTTTTAAATCTCCGAACTTTATTGACTCTACACCTTCTTTTGCTTCTCAAAACTACACAGAAGTCCAACCGTGGAGTCACCAAATCCTAATATTTTTATTTTGCAACATCTCGCCACCTGTTTTGACCCTCACAGAAAATGCTCCAACGAAGGCTCTTGTCCTCTCACAGTTGTCCAGCATGTACTGGGTGAGGGATGGACCAGTGCAGTGGCCCTCCAGCCCTGGGCTCACCTCCCTCTGACCCGAAACACCTGCTGCTGCCCTACTCCTGGTCTCTATTGCCAGCAAGATGGACAGTTCTAGTAAACATGATCCTAGCAGTCAAGAAGCTTCGTGGTCTGACTCCAAACTGCATTCTGACTTTCAGTTTCCTCTTTGTTCCCTGTGGAAGTTTTCTTGTTTAGTAGAATGGATTTAGGGGCGACCCCATGACCTGACCTCAAGAAAGAATATATTTGTCATTGCTCTCTCCTTGGCTTCCTCTCTGCCCATCTAAATGCTATCTGTAGTCTGAAACCCAATTAACATGACATTTATTTCAGGAAATCTTCCGTGTGCACCCCAAATTAAAAAAACATGTAAACATGTTCTTTTTTTCTGAACTCCTTTAGCACAGCCACTGAGGTAACCTTGAGGCATATACTCCTTTGAACTCACACCTGTTCTGAAGTTGCCTGTCACTGGGGCTTGCATATCTCTGTATTCTTGGAAGCCTACTAGAACATATATCCTCTGAGGCCAAGAAGTGTGCCCTGAATGTGTCTTCTCCTGTGGTGATGGATGTGTTGACTTTCAAAGAGTCAATAAATCTTTGTGGGAGGTTTTGACTTACAGTGTTTCTGATTCAGGGCCACTCATCACTGCCTCTGTGCACATAACTCAACATGACTTAATGTGACTCTCTCCTACGTGAGCGTAGTTAATTGTTCCATGGGGTAACTGATAGCCAGCGCATGTTCCCTAAATGTGAAGTGGCATTTACTTGTCCCAAATCAGGAAATTATTGAAGTTGACATCAATTTCCAGCTGTGATAACATTATAATACTGAAGGTTGAAAAGAAATTTCATTAGAAATTCAAGGAGCAAATAAAAGCAAACCTATAAAGGAAAATGGTACCATGCAAATGTCGAATATCAGGATATGTTATTTCATGATTATTGTCGAATACGAGGCCTGGGAAAACAGCTGTGGCAGGTATCAGCTTTCTCGCTCTCTCTCACTTTCACAAGATTACCCCAATTTTCTGCAATGATGATAATAAAGAGGTTAGAGATGAATGCAATGCGGCCACTAAAATCAGGAAATCATGAATAAGTATTGTTCAGATATCACAGTTTTTTCCAGTTTTCTTGAACTGTAATGATGTTTGAATGCATTAAACACATTTTAAAATAAATTGTGTACAGTTAAGAGTGTACAGCACTAAGAAACCTGCATAATATTAACTATTTCTAGTGATGTTTGAACTTAGGAATGTTCGAGGGCTAGAAAAGGGTTGCAGTTGCGTTATGACCACATCAGACAAGAGATCTGGCATTGCCTAAATTCTGCCTTCCTGTCCCCATTATCTCTCCAGGGTACTGAAGGAGCCATTCACAGATGAATGGGCAGATAAAAATCAAAGTATTATTTTATTTTTAGCTTGGCTGGTGACTAATGCTCCGATTAGGACTCTGATATTCATAGGATTAAAAGCTTGTGTCAAAGCTTCTAGACTCCAGCTTCATAGGAACCCCGGATAGGAATCTCGACATCTTGTTGCATTTGGCCAGCCATGTGGTCAGGACTGAAAAGAATGACCAGCATGTTTGGCCAGCACAGGTGAGGGAGGACCCCAGAATCAGGGGCTTGGCAGCCCAAGGGAGGGTGCAGTGGAGAGCCTACCCCCAGCACAGAGGTGATGGCACCCAGGAAGGA